ATTCTTCGACCTCCACACTTTTTCCTGCCACATGCCGAACAATTGCAATTGCAAATTCCAGCCCATGTTCACAGCAGCAGGCTTGCTAGCTGAGTCAGCACCTGCACTCGGAGTGAATCCACAAGATTCCAGGTACAAACGCAAGGTCATGCTGTTCGCCACCACACCAAAGCTCATGAGGTTGAAGTACTGGGCACTTACAGCTGGGTCCTTGCAAACGCCAGTGGCAATGACTATCATGTGTAGGCTTATGCAGGGATTTTTCCAAAGGTTATGGCAAAGGGTCCTGGCTAGCGGATCTCAACCATGGAAAGTTGTAAGGTAAAAGATGGACGCAATACTGCAACATTTTGGAAATCGCACCAGATCAAGCTCACATTTTATTATGGCTTGAATCATAAGCACCGCCTATGCGTCCTTCAATGTTCTAGGCAGGCCTCTACCACTTCTATTTTTTATATCCGGGACATTAACATGTATTTCCTGTGCAGATGACGGAAAACAGAAGACAAAACCCCACAATTGGAAGAAGAAAATGAGAGAACAATGACAGAGCCAGAGCCCACACACAAACAACCCAGCCCACAAGGAGTCCTCAGCTTCCTTGATCAAGCAAGAAGCAATGTGCACAAACATTCGGGACAACAGAGGAGCGCCAACCTTGCCCAACGTCTTCAGCTCCAAGTCACTCAAAGAGTTGATGGCCGTCTTGGGATCCTTTTTGAGCTTGGTGAAGAGATCAAATTTCACCTGAGCGGACCCTGGAAATTCCAACATCTCCTTCGCGAGTTTCTCACCCTCGCCAATGATCTTGTCGGCACCATCCTCCATCGCTTTGACCATCGCGGCAAAATTACGGGCTCTGATCTTCCCCTCCCACAACAGGTTGTCACTGAAAGCCTCCTGCTTGGATGTGAACAACGCAGTGGCTTTCTTCACCTTCTCGCTTTTGTAGGCAGAAGTGGCAGGAGAAGAAGCAGGAATACCCGCAGCTGCAGCTTCTTGAGGCCGCAGTGCCGCGGAAGGAGCCTCGGAAACACGACGTTTCTTTGCCTCACTTTGTCCAGGGGTCTGGTTGGAAAGCTTTCCGTGGCCCCGGGTGTTCTTCCCATTTCCAACAGGCTCCGCAGGCAAAAATGAGGAAAACTGCAAGTCTGTGTCGTCATGGTCTGACTCCACCTCCTCAGCTGCAGTAGATGCAGCTGCGCTCTTGGAATCCTCCCGGCTGGCAAAGGCTGCGAGGTTCTTGGACACGTCTGCCTTGGAGTGGACAGCAGCACGGATGGCATTGATGTCCGCCTTGTTCTTGGCATAGGCTGCTGCCGCAATGGCACCAGTCTCATGTGTACCAACCTGGCCAACGATTTGGCAAATAGTGTGGACAGGGCCAAATGTCGAAATAAGTCTATTATACTGAATTATACTTTGTTATATGATACGGAATAATATTGTATTGTGTTAATAGTTAAATGTATTGTATTATTTTGCCTTATGTGATTATATATATATATACATTTTTTATTATAGTCATTAATTTATTTTACTATAGTTATAGTCGTACATTATTATATTGTGGTCATGGTTAAATAAAGTGTCATTTTATCTCTGTGTCTATGTGTATCATTTATTACATTACTTTTACTTTACTATTACTATTACTATTACTATTACTATTACTTCTACTTTTACTATTACTATTATTATACCGTCGTTAGTTGCAGCCCCTACTTCCCAGTCTCCCGCCTTCTCTTTGCCTGAAGCGTGCCGAATTCCCAACTTCACCCTGCGATTGCCATCCATTACTGCTACCACCAACTGGCCCCTGTCGGTCAGGACTCTCAAGCCAAGCTCCTTCAAGTCAGGTCAGGTCATGCTAGGATGTGCTAAGCTGCTAGGCTAAAGGAATCATAATTCAGAATACAGAATAACAGAATAACAGAATAACTTATATTACAAACATTCTTAATTAGAAGTAGAAATTTCAAAGTAGACTGGCTCTTAAAAAAAAGATTTGCATTGAAAGGGGCCCTCGGGGTGACAAGCCCGGGACCGAAGTGAAACCTTGTTTAAATAAAATCTGCAAGCTGTAAACTGTAAACCTGCAATCTGTCTATACATTTTTTTTGCGTAGTGAATCCAACTCATGAGTCAACTGGGGCATAGAAGCATTCAGGCTCCTCCTCCACAAAGCGGCGTTGCTTGGCTTCAGCCCCGATCCTCTCCGGATCAAAGCCTTTAGACACCAAGAAATCTCCCAATGGGGTGACCGTCCCTTCATCATAAAAGTCTGCATATTCCTCTTCACGACGAAACGATGCAAGATTCACCTGTTCCTTCTTTGCCCTGTTATGTCCACCACGTGTGTCACAATTGATGGCACGACATTCCTCCCACTTCTCCAGAGCGTCCTGTGAGCGGACAAGAAATGTGGCCACGATACCAGTACTACTAACCCTACCAGTACACTACAATAAAACATACTTACTTATATATAACATTGAGTGAAACTTGTTAATTATTAGTATTATTATTTCCTTTTATCACCTACCACCATTTGACAAACTGCATGAACCATAGCTTGTTTGACTGTACTGTATGACTCATAATATATGACCAGCCTGTAAATGATATGACATGATATGATATGATATGATATGTGATGTGTTGATAGATGGACTGCAGGCCAATTTGGCGCGCGAACCTGGCAATAAAAACGCTTCAAAGTGTTTGAACCCCTTCTGTGGTTTGGCTAATACTAATTCCTGTTAGTTTCACACCCCCAAAAAAAAAACCAAAGGAACAGTGGCAAAAAGAAACCCCTCCACCCCCCAAAAAAAAAACGGCCATACATTTTACCCAAAAGTATGGAAAACCCCATGTATTCTCATTTTTTCCGGGATGTATGCCCATTTTCCTGGGGGTTTCATTTGTGTTTTTTGAGGAATGGCAAACCAAGTTGGGTTCGTGTGCAAATTTGGGTATTTGAATGGAGGCGAATTTGGCACGCGAACCCGACAATAATAAATGGCAATGTTAGTGAACTTTTTTTTTTGTTGGGCTCGCCCTTCAAAAAAAGACTTTCAACCCCGATGCTGGCATCATCATCGCAAGTGATGGTATTATCTCCAACCAACTTTGCCACTGCTTTCAGCCACAAAAAGCTTATGTCGACTTTCAACCTCTGTTGACAGCCATCCTGGCAGTTGGTCCGAAAGTTATGGGAAACTCCAGGCTAATTGGATTGCGGGATATGATATGATAACAACATTGTAGGCTTGAAACGCCCCCATTCCAGTCCTCCGAACTTTCAATCAGAGTGTTGAGCTCCGCCTGCTTGATGTTGCTGAAGTTGCCACGGCGAGTGACCTTGGCAACATGTTGAATGGACGGTGGTCTCTGAGCTCAAATCTTTCCTCCAAATCTGTCGACATTGAAATTTCTTTACGCACCCGCAACTCGCAACAAAAAAATGTTTCTATAGTGTCAGTGTTCTAGTTCTAGTTCTACTTCTAGTTCTTATTCATGTGGAAGTTCCTAATGAGAACCGTCCATCAGTAAGTCGGAATACAAAAGAAAGAAAGAGTGTACTGTACATGGAATGTAGGAAGACAAGCAAATTTAAAGTTTAGACCAGGCATTGGCTCACCCTTCCACAATGCTAAGCACAGAACATTGCAGAAGTGACATTCGCTGCCACGTTCGATAGTGCGATTTCCATCCTGACAGCGATGCACTGGTGAGATGTCAACAAAAGTAGGAGGGGCTCCAAACCTTTTATGGCCCTGGGATTTTGTTCAACCTGAAATCCAAAAAGAGAGGTTGGAAACCCCATTTAAGGAAGATTTCTTCGTAATCAGTTGTGAATTACAATCAGCTCCGAATCTCTACTTCTCTCAAGTGCTAGAAACTAGCCCTGTTCCCAACCCAAAAGGATGGAAAAAATGAAGCCAGCAAAATTGAAACAATAAGTTGAAGCCTAATTGATCTCCGTTCCAAATTTCCCGTTCCCAAAACGGAAGCCCAAACATTGGGTTTCGATATTTGTCTGATATATTTTTTGCTGATTATCTTTTCAAGTCGGTGCCCTTCCCAATAAGTTTTGTTAAAGTTCAGCCACACGCTGAGTTAGCTATGAACAAGATTTCAATTGAAAGGGCTCCTTCAAGGTGAATGGGTCCGCGCGCGCGCGCGCCAAAAGAGCCTCAAATTGGAGACCCTTTTGGCGCGCGCGCGCGCGGACCCTTTCACCCCGAGGACCTCTTTCAAAGGAAGATGTGTTAGAAACAGAGCACAGAAAAGAAAATCAAGGGCATGGCTGAAAGAACATCTGTTACGATTTGAAATTATTGTTCATCAGATTCATCAGCTTAGACAGTCAAAACATGACAAACCAATCCCAACGATCCCCAAATGGTGGTCCTGGTCACGATCACATTTGCTCCACTTCAACTTCTCCTGGCGGTCGCCACTGAAGCGGTCGATAGTGCGAGCGTCCTGCTTACAAGTAGAGCAGCTACGCACGTACGTCTGGTCTTCCGGTGCATCATCACCCGAATTCAGTTCAGCAGCAAGGGAAAAGGCTTCGGCCATGCTGAAGAGCTGTTGGAAATCAAGATGGTGTGCAATTCAAGCTGTCTTGATAGGTTTGAGGCTGCAAGGAATTTTCAAGAATAATCAAAACCCACATGCGCTCAAAATTAAAATTGTAAATTGTGTTTTCCAGATTTCAAACGGCCCATGGTGCGGCCCATACCCGTCAAACTAAGACGTCTTTAAGACCAAGTTCTCCCAGGTTCTCCCAGGTTCTCCCAGGAAATCCCGAACCCTTTCGGATAAGCATTACAGGGCTATAATGCTTATTTTAAGGGCTCCATGCCCTGTAATGCTTATTTTTAGTGGTTTATCAGTTTCCTGGGAGAACCTGGGAGAACCTGGGAGATAATTTTCCCGAATTCCCACCCCGAGTGATCTGTTCCACACGATGCTGGCCACCAAGAAACTGGTGGTGTTGTTTCAGACACCCATCCATGGCCGGAACCAGCGGCATACTGCATAGCTTGCCACACTGGACCATCATCTGGTCGGATTGCAGATTGAAACTTGTCCAGGAGAGACCCAATGTGATCCTAGAGATAAAGGTTGGATTGGATAATGAAACAAAGACATCGCAAAACCAAAAATCAGAGGAACTGACGCAGAGAGATGACATGATGATTCAATAAAAGATGACATGAATCATGAATATGAAGCCATTCACTTTCAATCTTTAGTTCACATCATGCTGACATGTTTCACTGCTGACAAGTTTCGAGAGTGCCCGTGTCTCCAACTGATTCGTGCACCATCACGAAATAAAGACGTGTGCGAGTTTGACCAAGGCCAAAACTCTTTGACCTAAGCTGGAACCAAAAAAGGCTGGCGCTAGCATATCAGAACACAATGCTGCACTTCTTACTACAGTATCGAGTGCACATTACAGTAATAATTTATATTTATATCATTTATATCATTGTTGGTCTAATATGGCAATACTTCTTTATAGTCATATGAGGGGGCTCTATTAATCTTAACTTTTTACTGCCCAAGATTGATGCAAAAACTTTACATTTATGTACTTATGGATGTATGAAGAAACTGCGCCCTCCCATCACACCTTCCAAGGCACTGGAGTTTGTAAACACAAACTGCATAGCCATCGATGAGCTCCAGCCCGATCTCCTCTTCCTCCCCATCCTCGCTTTGAAGAACACCCTTCAATACAAAATCCAGCGGCGCCTGCATGGCCAGCAGTCTACAAATGTGATTCGATTCAACTTTAATCTGGATTTGGATTATAGACAGGCTGGACAGGACTCTAGGCTCTTGGAAGAAAGGCAATGGCAGTGTAGAGAAAATCACGACTCATGAGTCATGTCAGGAACAGGATCAATATCATTGGGTCTTGTTCACAAACTGTCAGCTTGGTGAATGCTGCAATGGTGCTGCAAACAGGTGATGCGCACAAACAATTCTGCAGTTCCATTTTCTGCGACAGTTCCCGTACCAAGTGATGTGTCTTGCTGTCTTGCTATGTTGGCGTTGAAGAAGCCAAGCCATGTTCCATGGTCCCTGCAAATTTGAATTCCTTGTCTCGCCACTTCCTTTGTGCCAAAGGATTCCACCAGTTCCCAACGGTATTTTCAAGACTAGGATGCCAAAATGAAAAGATTGACCTGGAAACAAAACAAATATCGAGGTGTACTGTATATATAATATATTTTAAATAAATATTAAATATGTGGTAATAAAAATATATACTATGAAAAAATATATGTGGTATTGCTTGATGTTGAACGGTTTCTCCAGCAGCGGAGACGGAAAATGAATTGAATTTTGAATTGCCCGAATTTCAAGCCAATCATTTTTTGTGATTGAGCCTGATCCTTGCACATGAAATCATGCAACATTGTATACTTCCATCATGCCCTGCAAAGTTCTCAGTGCAGCACGGCAAGCTTGAAGCTCTTCACAATCATTTGGGGGATTCTGTGACAACAAAGTCTCCAAGAAACGTGTTGAACTAGCACAAGTCTGTTCGTCCAACTGATTCAGGCACGTGGTATGGATAGATCGGGGAGGCTTGTTTATCTTCCACACAAACTCGAAGCGGATGTCTCCCTTGGGAATTGGCATGGAGCAATGCATGCAATTCACCCCTGCCTTCTTGACCCGTGCAACTGCTGATAACCCGGATTGGACAAACATGCCACGGGTGTTTGGATTGTTCGGAATGTCCACTTTCCTACGCCTAGCTGGGGGTTCAGAAGAAGCCGGATCACTTTGACTCTGACCCTGGTTCTGAACATCATCGAGCTCCTGCTGCAGCTCGTGACGCGCAGCGGCGTCTTCTGCAGCTGCAGCCTCTAACTCTTCTCTGGCTTGATCGCTCGTCTCAGCAGCAAAAAAATCATCAAATGGACTCAACTCCTCCTGAAGCATGTCCTGATCAGGCTGAACGTCATCAGCAGCAGGTGCAGCAGGTGGTTTCCTTAGAGCACAAGAACGGAGCAAGCTGAACAATACCTGGATTAAGAAGTTCGAAACAAATTGAATGGGCTCAAGAATTGAGTTGGTACTGGACTGAAAATGAAATTCACAATTTTGAGTCTGATCCCGTTCTGATTTTCTAGATACAACTCACAACTTACAACAAGAAACAGGACTGTAACGCAAGCAAATCACGTCATATTGACCAAATTCAGGTTCGTCAGCATTGAGAAAAAGGATCTTGAAGAAGGGGCACCGTCACTGCCACTAACAGAATCAGAACTTGACTTGTCATTGCCTAGCCCTTTCTGTCCACAAGAAGCTTTGGAACCATCTGCCGATGCTTTTGCCTTGGGCTTTGGAGCTGGTTTCAAAAGACCAGCAAGCCCAAAAGACTTTGAACCTGGCCCGGGACCAGCTGGCTTTTTTGGTCGGTGATCATCCGCATTGAAGTCACAACCAATGGTGAAAATTGCCGCTGCTGGTGGGAGAATCTGGATAGTTGCAGGGCTGATTGGGTTGCCCTGTACAAGAGTCATTCTGTTGTAGACTGTTACCTGGATCAGGGGCCACAAAATAGCTTTAGGAAAACAAATCAATAAAACCTACTAGGGTTGACAAGTGCCAGGGTACCCTTCTACTTCTACTACTTCTATTACTACGCCGATCGATATGATAGAATGATAGAATTTGAATTATCATTGGCATTGATGATAGATATTTGATATGTGATATATGATGATATATAAATCTACAGGGAAGACACAGCGGGGATTAAAACGATAGGTCCCCAACCACTCTTTTTGGGGACCTATCGTCTTCATGGTTGCTATCCACGTTGTGTAAAATCCCATAGTTTTATGATAGTGATAATATATTATTTGTTGAAAGAATCACCATAAGATCATCATAGGCATTGGTCACAGAAGTCATGACAGGTCATAAGTTCATAAGTTAGTTTCACAGTTCAAATGTCATAGAAGAAATGCGGACTTAATGGCTTCCAAACTTCTAAACCCTACCTGCACAGAGATGTCCTCCTTTGAGCCCCCATTGGACACATGTTTCCCGATCAATTCCTTGAAGATTCTATGGAGGGAATCTCCACATGGAATGTTGTTGTCAGTCTTGATGCCAAAGTTCAATCCAGTGTTCACGAACAAGCGGATGCCAGTGTAGGACACTGGTTTGGCCGTGACAGCTCCAATCACCACCCAAGTTGGATCATTGCCAAGATGATGGCTCATTTCAGAGGAACTGCTGGCTCTGTCAGTGTAAACCAGATGTAGCTTGACGACGAATGGGGATGAAGCTACACCAAACTTACGACTGGAAAACACAATGTCAAATTGGCGAACCAAATCTTTAACCAAATCATAGAATGCATCCTCTCGGCAGATTCCACAGTTCGCCCACCTACAAGTCCGGGAAAACGCTGGCAAGTCGTCATCATTCTTCACCACAGATGCATCGTAGTGCAAATGATGTTTGGACAAGTCATACATGGCATCCTCTTTTCCGATGTAAGGAGTAACAAAAGAAGGTTTAAGTGCACAAACATGATCGGACAACGCAAGCCCATGATCCCAGGAGTTGTGACCTGTTACCTGATGCAAGGATATGTCCAGCCGTTTTTGGTAGGTACGCTGAACCTGGGATGGCCGCAAGTCTGTGCCAGATGCCTCCATGGCTGCGGATCTGTCTGAAACGGGAACGCTGAGCAACGCGTTCCTCTCAGCAGTCAATTTAACAGCTTCTCGTTTGAGTTCTGCCAATTCGGCATGTGAAAGCTTTTGATAAGCCTTTCCCATGTCCTTGAGGGCTTCTTTGAAGTCGCATGTGCCAACCTTGGCCTGTGGATGCTGACTCCTCTGGATGAAAACGCGCAGTGATTCCAAAAAAAAACAGGATGAAATTGAAGAACAGTTTCACAGTTTATGGGAACTTGTCACTGAAGATGGCAAGTACGTACTGCTACCTTTCGAGGATCAGAATCAGAACCGAATCAGAACCCCCTTACCTTCGAACTTCCAACTTTTGTAACTATCGAACTTCTTCTATCGATGATCGATGATAATATGAAGCTTGTATGTGATGATATAATATAATCATGATTCCTAAATACTAGGTGAAATTATAGTCTTCTCAGCAGGTGATCTCCCAGAAAAAAACACGTATTTTCTCATCGGGTCCCCGCGGATGTGAAAGTTAGTGATGTGACATTTCTCTTTATATCATATAATCATCATATATATATATATATATGTATATATATATATATATCATTCATATACCGTACCAATGATTTATGGCCATGGCCCTGACAACGCAATATTGAGAGATACAGTGTGGGCACCCAAAACTAGCACCGGTCCTGAATTTCTGGGCAAAGACGTTGAAAGCAGACAAGCTCCTTGATTTCTGGCTGTGCTTTCGGACCTTGCCACCACGTCCATTCGACCTCAGGACTATAGATAGACCGAATACAAACAGGGCAGGTGTAAAGGAGGAGTCGGAAGAGACAGTCTAAGTCAAACAAATCATCACAAATCGAATATTTAGTCGAACTGACACAAAGAAAAGACAATGACAATGATATCATGAAGTTTCAAGCCAGCTGACAACAGACCTTTCAATAAGCTGTTCTTTGCAGATTTCCTGGAAGTCTTGGGCTTACCCAATGATAGCAGCAACTCTGCACGTTCTTCAGTTCTTTCCCTGAGCAAACGTCCAATTTTGCCCTTGGCCTTTCCAAGACAAGTCTTCTCCACCGAGTCCTTGAAAGATTGGTGTGCCAACACAGCCGACATGATGTAGGAATCTCGCTGAATGATGCGCGGGGTCTTGGCATTCGAGCAGTAAGTGTGGATATCATGTTGGAGGTTGGCATGTGCCTTCTCAACTTCAACAGATGAAGCAGGCAATTCAAGAAGTATATCTTGGAGAAACTGCTTGGCCTTCCCGAAACGTGAAAAGACATCACCACCACGCCCCTGCAAAACATATTCAATAATGACCTAGGTGCAGGCCGTTTTGACTCACAACATAACATAACTTAAATTAAACTTAAACCGAAACCAATGACGCAAATTAACCCATTGTCCATGATAATGATAATATTGACGGAAATCATTTCTCAAAAACGGACTTCAAACATTTGATTGAGAAACCCTCCCAAAGAAATGGTCTTGGCATCTTTCACATGGGCCAGCTTCCAAACCAGTTTTTTGTAGAAAACGTATTCCGTCTTCAGCATCCATACCCACCACTCCAAATACGGACCAGGGCATTCCAGAGAATGGTGACACCAATCGGCGCCAACAGTCTGACATGGCCATGATGACAATGGGTAGACACTCATCTTGATTTAGACCAAGCTCTGAGGACCACAACATGTCCCCAGGAAGTTGCAAAAGATTGAAGTACTCATGGAGAACATCCAAACCTGCGTGGCCTGTAAAGACACGGGCGTTTTTCTCGATCAGCTCATCTGGTGTTACTTGACACAAACTGGTATCTGGAAGAATGCCTTGCATCTGGAAACGAACTCTTTCCCGTATAGTCTCCAAGAATGAGAGCTGATCCATGTGGTTGGAAATTGGCCGGGTCAAAACCACGGCCCCTGCCAACTTTGCCTCAACTCAGTTTGTTGTTGCACAAGCTAAAACTTCGAAAAGAAATGTCAAACTATGACTAAACAAACCCTCCCTGACTACCATCCCAGGGCCAAGCCAAGTCACCAAAATACCATCCTCAGAAAGCATTTGCCAAACCTTTCCCATCCGGATTTTTTGTTTCATGGCAGGGGCAAGGTCTGCAGAATCTGCATCAACAAATGATGCCAAATCAATGGCGCCTTCATCAAACACCTTGTTCATGGTGGCCTCCCAAACAACCATGAGAACCTGGTGGATCAAGAGATTTCTGAGGGTGAATTGAACTGCTGGATCGAAATGCTTCCAACGATAAAGCAACGGAACATCAAAGAACTTCCCCACAGTAGCTTTCAAGGCCTCCCGGGTCTTCATTTGACAAACTTTGTCTGATGCGCAACAGCCAGGAGGGCAATAATGGTTCAGTTTCCCTGAACGTTCTCTCAAAGGAGCAGACCAGTCGTCATTCAGCACTGACAAAATCATTTCTACTGATTCTTCAGACAAATCAGAGTTGCAAATGCCCAGCTTGTGGGCGTTCGCATTTTTCCACAGTCGTACTTTCAGGGGCAATTCCAAGACAGTGTATCGGACTACAGAATCTGCTATAGAGTCAATGGCAGATTCCAGCCGGTGCTGGAACAAGCTGGATCGACACGCGTGCGCCATTCTGACCAGTCCTGGAGAGGGAGTGATAATGGTGGACTGATGTCACATGGTTAAAAGGTTACTGTCACTGCAATAAAGAATCTGATGGGTCGTCGGGCTGGTTGTGCTTTGTACTGCTTTCAACTTGTAGTCCAGTCTTTTCATAACATCTTATCATCTCATGTTGTAAAAAAACAATGCCAGGACCGTGACAATAAACTCATTCATAAGTCCATAAGAGTTGCAAAAGAAAGAAAGAGAAGGAACATAATTCTTGACACATCATCAACCCAATCCTGTGGCCAAACCAGGAAACTTCAAGATCACAGGTTTCTTGCACAATGCACCTTGATGGTGTTGGCAGAAGCTGTACAGAAGACAAACCCCTTTCTCAGATAGGCCATTGTCCAAATACTGCTTTTGTTCCATTGCAGCTACTGACACGTTTGTAGGTATCGAATCGGTACCTTAGCTTTGGGCGCGGGAACGAACAAAACCCTGACCCTAACACAAGTCCAGGAGAATAGGAAGTTCGAAACTTACATTAAATGCTCCCAGAAAATCAATGTAGAAATTCTTGAGGGTTGAAGATAAGATTAGTAGGCTAAGATGCATGTGACGATTGCTTTCAAAGGGATGTTCTCATCTCGGAAAATTGAATCAATCTGTCCGTCCGTCCCACCAAAGGCATGCCCTGTCCCTTCTGGTGAAAAGATGGACCATCGACATATACGAGAATACAAAGTCCCTGCATTCGCCTAGCAGGGTCAAAATCATTATGACTATGACTATCATATCAGATCATCCTATCACCTTTTGCTTATGTGTCCACGTCATACCTCTGAGTTGAAAAAACAAAAGCAGCAAAACAAATATATTTTCAGAACCCCTTCAATCACAAGGCCTTTGGCAACAGTTGAAAAGGCACATGTATGCGCACACACTGTGGAACAGTTTCCCCAGAAAACCGAGCACATAGTCGCTGAATGAACCCCATTGCTGGTGCAACCTTCGCCTTGGATTTGATCTTTCTGCTGACTTTAAACTCTCCCTCAGTAGTAGCATTGTCGGCATTGTCATCATCATCGTCATCATCACTCTGACCACCACCAGGTTCTGGCATTGTCCACACGTTTGTGTCGTCAATGACCCTATTCAGGACCACATGTGAAGGCAACCCTTGTTTTGTTGTCAACCACGTTGGAATCTGCTGGAGTTGTGCCTTCAAATGGCAACCGACCACAAAGTCTTTTGCCCTGTTTACATTGGTCTTCACTCTGACACATGTCTTGTACCAGGACAACTGGCCGTTCGGTGCCGTAATGAAGCTGAAAGCATCCCTCAATTGCGCAAGGTGGTATCCAAAACAAAAGGCCCTCATGTGAAAATGTGTGCTGATTGGGGTGATGAGAATGCAAAGGGAGAAAAACATTTCAGATTTCATCTTCGCGGAGCCTAGGAACTGGGCATTTGTACTTGAGATATGTTTCCCACGAAGCCACCTGCTAAACACAGCCTTCACCAAGTTCTGGGCAGGGTCCAATTTCAGATTTAATACCTTCTGGGCAGTATCGACCTGACGGGAAGCCCAACTATTGCGGCAGAAAGCTGCATGCGCACGGCCCCGAGAAAAAGTTTCTGACGATCGCTCTGCCCGCTTTTCTGGAATGGCGACAACCTCCTGCGACTCCTGCGCAAGAGAAGTAATCAGGCAGCTCTTGGAAAAATCTGAACTGCCATGTTTTTAGAGGTACAATATGCTGCTGCTACAGGTTCAATATGATGTGGCTGCAGTATCGTATTTCGTCTCAGTTTACATCAAGTTGAAGTTATTGCGGGTTTGAAGTTTGAAGTAGTAGCTGAGTAGCTGATAGATTGACAGGATAGCAGTCACGCAAGGACATGTGTCATGGCACTGTTACGATGTGGTGACATGGCATGTCTGACTAACTACTATGAGTCAAAAAAAATCCCCGCCCATGGCCAAGTCAAACCAGGAAAAAAACAGAGACTGTCCTCTTGACAACTAGGCGCGCCAGGCGCTTGGACTGAAGCACTGCTGGCATTGGACTGCTCAGAGCCCCTGCTACTTCGGTACAATGCCCTCATTGCTTCAGCTACACGCGTCCGAGTTCTTGATGTACTTCAGACTACACTTAACTAAAAGCTATTCGCTTTAGATGTCAAATCAAATGGCTCAAAAAACCCAACTATCACAAAAGAAATGAATTACAGCCTTTAGCCTACTACTACTACTGCTGCTACTGCTACTGCTACTTCTGCAGTCAACGTCAACAAGCAATTTGCCATTGGAATCTGTGTGAAATTTGAACCATCAAGTCCTCTGCAGCTGGAGCAGTTTGAATCATCACCTGGGAGTCACCTACAGTATTACCTAGCGCCATCTATCATCTGTCTATCATTATTACCTATCAATAAATTAGAGAATATCATATCATATCATATCATATCATCCATTATTCATCTATCATCTCTCAATCATCTATCATCTATCACCTATCAGTCATCATCTGTCATCATCCACCTCACCTAATTCATGATATGATTGTGTCATCTGTCATTTCATGTCATCACCTGCTTGCACATGCCCGGGCCTTATATTCCGCTGAGGACGACGTTTTCGCCGCTCGTTTGGTCATGCCCATGACATTCTCCAGGATTGCAATCCTGAGCGGGCGCAGCACACCCGCCAAAGCACACCCGCCAAAGAAAAACATAATAACGCAATGTGAAAGGAAACGTATTGCAACTGGTTTTCTTTGGTGAGTTTGCACGAATCCATCGTGACGACTCGATGAAAGGAAGTGCTTTGGCTGCCTTGGCTAAGACAGACAAATACATCAGGCTCAGATGTTGTAGACACATCATATGATATGTGTTCTCCAGAGTTCTCGCATTCCTAGTTACTACCTTTGGGTCTTTGGAACTGAAGAGGTTTTTGACATTCCCATCTGCATATCTTGTCGAACTCTCCTGCGAGAAGAGTTTGCAAGTGAATCCAGAGATATATATATCCACTGGCTCCTGGCATGGCGGCAGGACAGTTGGTGTGGAAGAAATGGCAACGCATGCGCGCACAAGTTATGAATCAGGTGTGCACATTGCCAATCTCATGTCAGATGTGTATCTAGTTGTCAATAGATAGTGAGAATGAGAGTGGCAATATTTGATGTTCAATCAGTCAATCACTGATTACTGTAAGAGTAAGAATGTAAGGTCTGTGTTTTCCATCCGCTACCGCACCCACTTCCCCATGCGAGTCCTGGTGATATTCATGCGCTGGAGGACATTCTTCACGGTGTACTGCACAAGCTCCGCCAGTCCTGAGACACAAAGACTGCACCCAAAGATTTACTGATATCTAAACGCCGGTGTAGATAAATATCCATAGCTTAGCTGATATTGTAATGAAACAGTATCATATCAATTCGTTGGTTTGCAACTGCAATGCTTCAAACTGTCACCAAAACTGTACTCTTGATCAAAACATGCCTAAATTTTTGAACAAGTGTAATTTAATGATATATTAAAGACAAAGAATTAAAGAATCATATTATAATTTTTAGTGTATTGTATAATTAGAAAGTGTTTCAAGTATAAGTTATAATAACGTTTTCATTTATAGTTTCAATCTGTCCACAGTAGTACCACCTAGTCAGCTTCAAAGAACAAACCCGCCCAAGCCCACCCACAGCAATTCGATGAGTTTTTGCAGAGAAAAAAGCTTACAGAGAGACAATCAATGAGAGACCAGATAAGAAGAATACTCAGCAGTCAAGCTTAGCTTCCTAGCCGAGAGCATGTTGTGATACAGGTGCTCGATGTTGTAGTTCTCCAACAGGAAGCTCCTCGCCCCTGCCTCAATCAGCCGTCCGATGCAGCAAGATTCAGATAAGATTTCTGGCCACAAATTATAAATTATAGATGAGCTGAAGCTGAAGTGAAAAATCCACGTGTCATCAGTAATGTAACTAGTGATGTGAATGGCAGCCTATATCTGCTACCTGCACAACATGACCTGTACAACAAAGCACGTCAGATCACATAATACCACCATCAAAAACCTATCGCCGACATCGAATCATATCATTCTGTCGATTTTGATCCACATTGAAATATTTAATATAATATACAACATAAAATAATATAATGTAATTTCATATAATATAATAATAAGTTTTTAAAAAATATAATATAATACAATATTATAAAATAAAATATAATACAATTGAATATGACATAATATTATATTGTTATTTATTGTTAAGTTATGGCTATTATGATACGAGTCATGGACCCAAGGTGCATGGATCTCACTGGCGAACAGCTCCTTGTAGTTTGCATCCCCAACCAGCTGTGCCAAAGCGTGGCATGGCGCGCCAGATCCAGAACAAGCGGTTCCAACTACCTGAGCATGGGAAGGGTGGCTGCATGTGTAAAATCGCTTTTCGGAAAATTGAAGAGCCGAAGGAAACAACTGCATCATTGCATAATCCTCACTAAGGAAATCTTGAAATCACCAGAGAAAACAAACCAGTTTGCAAGTTACATCCTGAAACTACCTGAAACTACCAGAAACTACCTAAATCACTAGACACAGCCCCTCCCTCACGATAGGCGTGATTGGCGGTTGTTTTCCTAAAGTGGCAGAGCAAATGACCTCGTCTCATTGTATACTTCTGTATACTGAGAGATATTGACCCCGGTTCCGTGTTGGAAGCTAAGCTATCTCAAATCTCAACATCAGCCGCCTTTCAACATCAAGAAGTGGAAGGCGCAAATCAAAATGAGACAATTGAATTGTATGACTGTATGACTGTATGACTCTAGAGACTCTATGACTCAAACAACAAGTTTGAGTTTGCACATCAAAAGTTGCAGTGCACCAATGACCAGTGGGAAGATCGAACTTGTGTGTTGGGAATGCCATACCTCATTCCGGGATTGAACCGCATTTCCACACGCAGTGTGTGCTCAAAAAAAACCGTGATGACCTCTCTGTCCGTCACTCCTGGCAAGTGCGGCCCTCCACCATCAGGTGGCTGGCTTGGAGGACTTCCCCCAGTAGGATCAGGAAGCATCCCCCGCTCAATTTCCATAGCACCACGGTCCCACGCTGAACGCCAGGACTGCTCTGACATGTTTGAATCACTTTGCATTTCCAAGTCATCGCTAATCTGGCTATTCACAGACGAGAAGTCACCACCCTGAGCACCTGGTTCTGGTTCTACTAGGTCCACATTGTACGAAGGATCTGATGATGACGACGAGAAGTCACCACCCTGAGCACCTGGTTCTGGGTCTACTAGGTCTACATTGTGCGAAGGATCTGATGACTGCGAGGAGAAGTCACCACCCTGAGAACCTGGTTCTGGTTCTACTAGGTCTACATTGTGCGAAGGATCTGATGATTGCGAGCAGTCACCACCCTGAGCACCTGGTTCTAGCTCTACTAGGTCTACACTGCGCAGAGGATCAGAATCAGGATGAACAACCATGATGACATCGTCATCGTCACACTCTTCATCTGAGGATCCAGTGTCCAGATAAATTGTAACCACCATGGCACTACAAGCAAGAAGCGCCTCCAACAACGCGCCAGGCTACAGCTACGCAGTGCTGTGGGCCAGAATCTTTCAGTTTGGCCAATGACTTGTTGAACAACTTGACAACTCCGCGATCTGGTGGCCTATCATGCCTGCCTGCTTTTCAAGAGAAAAGAACTTTACAATACAGAATGCATTTCAGCCTAATCTTCCAAAGAACCCCAAATCCCATTTTCCCTGAGCCCAACATGCGGGCAAGATGCCAGCCGGTCATCACCCAAGGAGGTCTGAAAATGACCAGTGCAGAGGCCCACACATTCCAGAAAGGCAGTTGCCCACGCCAGAAAACCGGGAGCGTCACCACCATTCTCGGAAGAACTGACGCTCCGTGAGCGTGATCTAGACCGTGAGCACCTTCCGAAGAATTCACAAAGCTTGGTGAATAGTGAATTCTGAATCCTGAATAATTTTTATGATGTTCTGTAAAAGCATCAATAAATATAAGTCTCAGTCTAAGTATGGTTTTATATGATATGTATTCTCTCACCTTTTACAATTTCCTTGTGGAAACAGGTGTGTGTGGTTTTTGGCATAAAAGGCAGCCTTGGCGGCCCATCCAACGAAGCATACAGGTCACGCAATCCCCCCGCAGGCTCAGGTGCATCAGCACTGTAAAGGGATGACAACGGCATGGCCCGTCGTGCAACTGGCGGATGGCCAAATGCAGAGATACAGTTGGTGGTCTGTTCCAACTGGGATCTTTCAAATCTTTCCATGTTAGCTCAAAGAATGGGGATTGTAGCCCTCTGCCATCACTGTTTGTCCAAAAAATATGTAGGGTTGAAAGATCGAAACAAACTTTTATCTACACCACTGTGATCAAATTAGTGTGCCCAGAATACACCTTGCTGAAGTGTTGAAAGATCAAAAAATAGTTAAGATAGTTAAGTGAGCGGTGCCTGACATTTGCAGCACTTCGAACCAGCATGGCCATGCAAACGGCCAAGCTATGTGATTTGTTTCGCGCCCTTGGGAAAGGGCCATCATTCCTCTCAGCTCATCCCCCCCGGAAAAAAATATTATGAATCAATGAACCACAGAAACATTGACAAACACCTTTGCCACCAGCGGATCTTATCTGACCAATTTAAGTTATTTCTTGGGTCGTACCTTATTATTTCCAATTTCCAATACTTCAAAGTTAAAATTAAGTGAGGTCGTCTTAAAAACGAAATTAGTGTGACGTCGTTGTCCAGGCTGAGGTCGTTGAACATGCTTTGCCTGGCAGCACGCATAGCTAATGACAAACATAGTGGTTTTGAGGATCGGCGTTTGTTGGGTGGCCTATATATATATAAATAAGCATATATAAAAATATGTTATGTATATAAGTGTACAATACGTAAAAAATATAATTTTATATAATATGTCCAAGTAGTACGTACATAAATCCATCCGTAAGTATCATGATCCCATTTTCCGTGCTTTAAATCCACTAATAATTAATAATTACCTAGGTAGAGATCTCGTAAGTAGGTTCATGCACTGTTGGAGAGAAAGAGCAAGATTTAGAAAAAGAGAAATGGAAAGAGAGAGAGAGAGAGAGGGAGGGAGGGAGGGAGAGAGAGAGAGAGAGAGAGAGCAGCCCCGCATGAAGCAACCAAGACCGCATAAAGTAGCCGGAACAGCTATCCCCAATCGCGTAGATCGCTCATCTACACGCGTTTTTGTGTTTCCTGGGTGCGGCGGCCCCGTGGAAAGCAAGCAAGGCCAGAAACCAGCGTAGCCGGAACAGCTATCCCTGTTTCTGGCAACGGCAAGGCCCAGCACAACACGGACCTGTTCCTATTTTCAAGGCATAGGACCGTCTTGTTTTCTTCGTCCCTAAGCTTGGTGCGGTTTTGCACCGCGCCCTCCCAAGATAGAAAAGAATTCGAAGCCAGAAAACCATGCCGAGGAAACACATTGTAGTGTGCATGTGATTTTCTTCACTGCCCTTTCAGCAACCCCAAGCACTTTCAACTCTCTTTCCAACATCCTTTTCATCTCTCCCCTCTCACCCGGTCGCGCCTCAAACAGCTCGTTGTCAACCATGCACATTTTGCGAGCAAGCGGGATCGGGCACAGGTAGGGTCAGGTACTCCATGTACACGTTACATATCCCATCAATTTCGAAATTCTGCCTCGTTAATTTTGGGATGACATCGTGACGTCGACTTAAATCGTAATTACAGATCTTATGAACCAGCCCTAGCATGCCCTGGGAGACAAGAAACACCACTGAACATACTCATGTAATCATCATATAATCATTTATATCACCTATATAAATAAAACACCATGCCTTGGAGACCCAAGGAAAAACAAAAAACACCACTGAACATATTCATATAATCATCATAAAATCACCAGTATATAAAACACCATGAGTGAATAATATTGACTAAACCCCATTTTTATATGAATCATGCACCATTGAAAACCCCGTTTTAACACCCAGGAAACCACGAAAATTAACACCCAGGCCCCAGAATCCTGATTTATGTTATATGCATTATAGGGGTTTTTCAAGTTCGGGTGCATTGCGGCGGGTGGCCGCGTGATCCTTCTCGTGCGTGACCCATAAATACGTCTTCAAAATGTTGAGCTTTTCCTCTGTTTCAGAAGAGTTCATGATCCGCGTGTGGCGCCTGTTTGACCAAAATGGATCCCAATATCCAGGGCAGACTGTGGCCATTGTGTTTTGACAGCGCTTGATGAAAGCGTTGACTCTAGGCAAAATCTTGTTCCTATAGCCTACGCAATGGTCACACAAATCAGTTTTGCGAAATCCCTTGCGAAATTCTTGACAATGACGACCGACAAGACAACGGAACTGAGTTTCTGCCAGGTTCCGGTAAATTGAAGGATTGGACCTGTAAATGGTGCTGAGCTGGGCTGTCAAAGTTCGTCTCTGTTTTCTCATGCGCACAATGGTGCCATCCGGTTGTTTCTCTTTGACAACGCATGTACGGGAAGCTGCAACGGAGGATTTCGCCAAAGTAGCTCGAACAGCCTGAATGCACAGGGGGTTGTTTACCTTTGATGGTCGGCCGGCCTTCTTTGG